GCCCGTCGGAAACCGCCTCCAAGGACTCGGGGCTCGCCCGCCCCCTCGGCCACGACGAGGCCCTGGCGGCCTCCTGCAAGCTGCCCGTGCTGGAGGAGACCTCCAAGAACAAGGTGGCCTCGTGGCTGAGCTCCAACAGCGTGGCTGAGGGCTTCCAGGACGGCGACAGCAGCTCGTCCTTCCGCGGGGGCGAGGCGGGAGACACCAAGCCTGTGAAGGTGGAAAACCCTGGGGAGAGGGAGAAGGGATGCGTTCCCACCCCAGGAGAGATGAACAGAGAGATGAAGGCAGCCAAGAAGGAGGTAAGGGAGGAGTGTGGGAGTGAGGGAGTCAAAGGGTGCTGAGGAATGATGGCTGGCATTTCGGGGAGCTCCAAAAGGGAGAGATTTGAATCTTCTCTGCTCCTCCCCCCTGCAGGAACCTGAGGAACCGACCAAAATCACGGGGTAAGATTCCTGACACGGTGTTGCCCTGTCCTTGCCTGGCCTGTGGACGCTCCCCTGGCAGCCCAGGCGTGACCCCTGTTGTCCTGGCCCCGCAGGCTGAGCATGCCGGGCCGGAGGTACGGATACAACCCCTGCCCCCCGAAGCTGGAGGGCATCCGGCGACCCCTGAGCCGCACGGCGCTGCTGCAGAGCCGGCGCCACTCCCTGCCCCTGCAGCCCCCCAGCGAGGTAAGGGGGACCCCCGGGCTGGCAGGGGGCCTGGCTCTGCCCCTTCCCCTGGAACCAGCTCCAGGACGACCTTGAACCTCAGTTTTGGGGGGTTTTCTGCCGTTTCTGTCCCTGGCTGAGCACTGGATTTGTGGCTGTCACTGCGATTTCCTGGGGGGCAAAGGTGGTTTCCTTTGGATTGTGGGGGCGTTTCTTGGGTCCGAAAACCCTTGAAAAAAAACCATGAGAGTGCAGAATTTGGACCATGTTCCAGTGGGACTGGAGCACCTTGGTCTGCACACCTGGCAGAACCATCTGGGGACAGTCCTTGTTTTTTGGGGCGAAAGGGGAGGCTTGGATGTGGCTCAGGAGCTGTTCCTGCCCCCAGGACGTGCTGACGCTGCTGAGCAGCACCGACAGTGACGGTGAGAACGGGCAGGTCCCGGCGGGGCAGGCCCCGGGCACCGCCAACGACAGCGACGACATCCAGACCATCTCGTCGGGCTCTGAGGAGGAGGAGGACAAGAAAAACCCCTCGTTGGGGTCAGGTGAGGGGAAGGGAAGGGCTGAGGGTGGGGAGTGGGGCTGGAGAGCACCGGGAAGGGCTGGTGAGGCCACAGCAGCGCCGAGCACGGCCCGTCAGCTCCTGCTGCATCCAATGGCCCAGGGCTGAACCTTCCCTGCTGGGTTTTGGAGATAAAACCGCGAAATCTCGCCCTCAAACCCAGGTATTTTGGGGGGATTGCGAGAAAAAGCAACTGTGAGGCTTCTGGTGGGTGTGAGGCTTGGCTGGGTGGATTCCAGGAGCCATCCCGGGGTGGTGGTTCAGGTGTGGTGGTTCGTTACCCCCGAGTGGAGCAGGAAGGGGGAAACGAGCAGGGCTGGGGGTTCCTCCTCTGGCAGCTGCCGTGTGGTGGCAGGTCCCGTGAAGAGGCAGGTGGCTGTGAAATCCACCCGAGGCTTCGCCCTGAAATCCACCCACGGCATCGCCATCAAATCCACCCCGCTGGCCGCGGGCGACAAGGGCGAGAGCGCGGGGCCCGTGCGCAGGAGCACGCGGCAGTTCTACGACGGCGAGGAGAACTGCTACATCATCGACGCCAAGCTCGAGGGCAACCTGGGCCGCTACCTCAACGTGAGCGAGCTGGGCATGGCGGGGGCAGGGGCCTCGGGGGGCTGTGCCCACCCCAGAGCGGCGGGAAAGGGCAGGGGGAGGAGGCTGATCCGCCCCCAGAGCGGAACAGGAGCTGCTCTGGCCCTGTCTGTCCTTCCAGCCCTGTCCGTCCTTCCAGCCCCGTTTTACCTGTGGGGGTGGGTGGTGGGACTCGGCCTGTTCCAGCAGGATCCCGCTGGACAGGCGGGCACGGCAGGAATGCTGCCTGTTGGGGAGGGCTGTGCAGGGCTGGCTGCTCTGCCTGCCTGGCAGCGGCTCAGCCCGTCCCCGTTGCCGTTACAGCACAGCTGCTCCCCCAACCTCTTCGTGCAGAACGTCTTCGTGGACACCCACGACCTTCGCTTCCCCTGGGTCGCCTTCTTCGCCAGCAAGTGAGTCCTGGAGGGCTGAGGCTTCCTGGGGCTCGCTGGGACCCGGCTCCGTGGCCAGGGCTGGGTGTTCCCCACTCCTGGTAACCCCATTCCCAGTTTAACCCCATCCTGAGCAGGGAAAACCTTGGGAGGTGAGGCAGGTGAGATCCTCTCTCCTGTGCTGAGGATCCTGGTGTGATTTCCCTCAGCTTTAGACCTTCCCAAAGGGCAGGGAGAAGCACAGAGCAGCCAAATTCCCAGCTTGGTTTTGCTGTGGTGAATCCCTGCCACGTTCCAGCTCCTCTGTGAATCCCCACGGGAATGATTCATCAGGAACTTTGTCCCTTTGCTCTCCAGCTGCTCCACCCTTGTCCCAGGGGCAGCTGGACTGGTCCAGAGAGGTCACAGGGAGCGTGGCTCCCTTCCATCATCCCCTTCTGCTCTTTCCTGGCGTTGCCTCTTCACCCATCCCGTGTGTTTCCTCTTCCCAGGAGGATCCGGGCGGGCACGGAGCTGACGTGGGATTACAACTACGAGGTGGGGAGCGTGGAGGGCAAAGAGCTGCTGTGCTGCTGCGGGGCCATCGACTGCCGGGGCCGCCTGCTCTGAGCCCGCCCTGCTGCCACCACCCTGGTGCTTCCCTCGGGGAGGGAAATGGTTCTCAAGAGGTTCTGTGTTCTCCTGTTCGCTTGGGAAGTTACGGCTGGGCGCGGGGCGGGAAGGGAATCTGGCTGTGCTCAGGGGGGCATTCCCAGCCCCTGGGCTTCTCCCACCTTCCAGAGGCTCCGGTTACCACGACAACCTCTCTCAGGAAAGGAGCTTTGCCTGCTCTCTTCCAGCTCTCCACCAAACTTGAGGCACAACCCCCTTGTTTTCCAGCAGGAAGCACTTCCCCAAGACTCCCAGCTTGGTGGTTGGGACTGAGGCCTGGGAAGTGGGAGGGAGAGGGTGTTGGAATCCCAGCACAGTGGGACCAATCCCGATTTCTGTGACACGAATCATCTGTGAGATGATGTTGTAAAGAATCTTTTGTTCTTTTGATTGTTAAAAAAGCAATAAAATTAATGTTTTTCTATTAAAAATCATCTACCATGGCCTTCAGGCAGTGAAGAGCCCTGGAAGAGCAGCACTGAACCACTTCCCACCATCCTTGTTTCTGTGGGGTTTGCAGGAAAAGCGCCAGAGGCCCCGGGAACAGGGGTAAGGAGCTCCCACATTTTCACCTTTCCTTCACCTTTCCTCCACCTTTCCTCAAAACAAACACTCCTTAAATCCCTCACTTGGAAAAATTAAACAGAAACGGGCTGGAACTTTCTCGAGGAAACAGATCCATCTGTTCCCATCTCCAGCCTTCCCAGAACGTCCCTGTAGGCTGGAAACACTTGAGTTTAAGCTTAAAGTCCTGCACTGAAGAGCTGCTGGGACAGCCTTGAACTCGATTTAGGCACCTGGGGAGGGTGGGTGGGGCAGCCCAGCCCAGCCCAGTCCGGCTGCTGGACACGAATCCACACGGAAAATCACTGGCCTTGGCAACAACACACAATTCCAAGGGTTTGGGTTTGGTTTTTTCTGGGGGGGGTGGGGGGGAGGGAGGGTAGGACACCAGGGCAGCTCCAAAATGTTCAATAAACCACCCTGAAAACTGGTTAGAAGAGGCAAATTGTAGCAAACTGGGATCAAACCTCCCATTATTGACATGGAAAACCCCGATCCGGGGGGCGCTGGAGCAGATCCCATCCCACCCACCCCACCCCACGAGCAGCCCCAGCTCACACAGCTCTGCACAAGGGAGGTTTGTTGTTTTCCTGCTAAATAACCTTTTTTTGTGTGTGTAAAATAAAACCTTTCTGGGGCCTCCTGGAGCTCCAGTTCCATCCTGAGCGTCCACCTGAATGGAGGCTTTGTCATCGCGGCTCCTCGGGATCCCAAACCACCCTCCAGCCTGGCCTGGACACCTGGAGAGCTCTGAGGGGGAAAAAAAACCATCCAACCCACCAAACCCCTCACCTTCTGCCCGTTTTTAGCTCTGCCCAAAGGGACTGTGCCAAAATAACCCCTCTGTGCCACCCACAGAACGTGCCCAAATCCTGAGCGGCTTTTTTGGTTCGGTTGGTTATTTTTTTTTTTACCCAAGTTTATTAGTTTTGTTTGTTTGTTTGTTTGTTTTTTTAAACTTTTAATATATTTAACCTCTTCTTTATTCCTTTTTTTTTTTTTTTTAAAAAACGAGAACAACAAAACACGTTTTGGTCTGACATTGGTTAATGGTCCTTGTTCCCCCCCACCCCTCCACGCTGGGCTCTCGCGGCATCCCGGGCGGATGCGGGAGACGGAGCCAAGCCCGGCTCCTTCTGTCTTCCAAATAAATAGAAAGAAAGGAAAAAAAAAAAAAAAAAAAAAAAAAAAA